GAGAGAGAGAGAGAGAGAGAGAGAGAGAGAGAGAGAGAGAGAGAGAGAGAGAGAGAGAGAGAGAGAGAGAGAGAGAGAGAGAGAGAGAGAGAGAGAGAGAGAGAGAGAGAGAGAGAGAGAGAGAGAGAGAGAGAGAGAGAGAGAGAGAGAGAGAGAGGAGGGAGGGAGGGAGGGAGGACAACAATTGAGGAGAGAGTGTGTGTAAGGAGATGGTTGAGGGGGTGAATGAAAAGTAAACGAGTATCAATTTTCGAGGATGAGCAATTTTTTGCAATCCAAGCATGCAGTGAAAAGTGCATCACAACTGACCAGACATGAAACTTGTGTGAGAGGAAAACTCTTCAATTGCTATCGGAGTTTCTAATCTCTGATTTGGCGCACAGAATGAATGGACGTTTGCTCGCCGTGCTCACCACCTTGATCAGTTTCCAGTGTTCTTGTGCGCAGCTGGAGTTCTCGAAATGTTACTCCGTGAGCAAGTCAGGAGCGTTCGGTAAGTTGAGAGGAGAGAGGAGCAAGCGCTGACGAGCGAGGGCAGGAACGTGCGGGACTGTTTCCTACAACTTCAAGTTCTGTGCCCGATCGCAGGACGAGGCAGACAATCAGGCAGACGTCATCATCCTCGCCAACTCTAACACCGCCCCGAAGACAGAGGAAGACTGCAAGAGCCGAGCCATTTCGATCTGCGGATCTCAGGTCAGTGAGAGGAGGACCTGTTGGAGCGACTCTGGATGCTGATGCTGAGCAGGCCAAGGAGGGGGTTACATGCGCGGACTACTGCAAGTTCTCCCCGGGCAACACAGTGCAGTGTCAGAACGACGGGGACTGCCTCGCAAAGCGTTCCACGAAGACCTGCTGCTCCTTCTACACCTCCATCTTCACTGGGCTCTGTGCCATGAGCGCAAGCGACATACAGCTCAGGGTCACGTCCCTTGAGAGCAACTCCACCTGCCTGTCAAAGGATTGCTACTCCGCTGCGAGCTCGACCTCTTCCAGCTCGCTCTGGTTGACAACCGTCGCCTTGCTGACCTCTCTTGCTCTGCTCCGCTTGTGAAGCGAAAGTTTTCATCCCTCCGGGAGGGTCGAGAACGCCGGTCATCGACGTGCAGGACGTCCTGCGCAGGATGCGGTAGGAGGAGGGAAGGTGGGCAGAGCGAGCCCCGAGCTCTTGACTGCTTCATGTACTTTTTGGGGTTGTTGATTTTCTTGTCTGTTGTGCTTTCTCCTCCAAAATGAATCAATCGTGAAGGGAACAGCATGACTGTGAAGTGCGAAATCGTCACTTGCATCATGGAGCAAACCAAGACTACATGGCAGTCAAAGACACGACGACTCTTGTAGCTGACTGATGACCACTGGCGCTGAGCGCTGGCAGCCCAGGAGCCTGGAGGGAGGCCCCGGGCCCCGCGGCGATCTCCGACTGGTCCAGTCACTCACTCCTGGTAGAGATTTGCACCACCCTTGTATCGTGTGCTCGGTGGAGGGACTCACTGTAGTAGTACGAGACAACCTGCCTCAGAGTACCAATAGGCTCGCTTCCGGGGCAGCGCGACATTCCCAGGGCAGCTACATACGAGTAAGGGAGGAGGCAGCAATGCATCAAGTCCGTTGACATGTGGCTCTAGCTAGAGCTAGGTTTGACTAGCTTGACTAGCTCAGTCGCTCAGCGAGTTTGTGAGACTTGACTTGTTCGTTCCTGAATGCATCAATACAACCTAGATCTGTGTCTGGAGACATAGCAAAGAATATCCGCGTCCTCTCGCCGATCATCTGCTGTTCTTCCTGTCCCCTAGCCCAGCTCGCCGGCCCCTGAAGATCGCACCGGAGGGAGGAGGAGGAGGCGTCTTGGGCTGCGACATCATGTCACTCTCCCCCTCTCATGCTCTCTGACCTGACCTGAAAGTTGGCAGCAGCAGCAGGTAAAAACGCTTGCTCCTCCATCGCTTCGCCCTCTGGCTTCCTGGTGGCCTGAAGTTCCATCAGAGCCGTCCGGGCAAGAGAGGACAGAGGACAGAGGATGAGAGGGAGGAGGAGGAGAGGGAGGGAGGGAGGAGGAAGTGAAGGTGTTGTAGACGCACCCCCAGCTGTTGCTTCTTTCCTTTTTCCTCCTCTAGGGCGCGAAGGAGTTTGACGACATGGCTGTGCCCCTGCCGCCTGATCAGCAGATAGCGAGTGGGCAGCATGTGAGGAGGAGGAGGAGGAGGAGGAGGAGGAGGAGGAGGAGGAGGAGGAGGAGGAGGAGGAGGAGGAGGAGGAGGAGGAGGAAGAGCAGCAGCAGCAGCAGCAGCTGGAAGAAGAAGAATCATGCTCTGAATCTGTTTGTAGCTCCTCAGTCGCAAGAGGACCTGCTCCTGTTCCAGTCAACTTTCGAGAAGCACATGAAGAGAGTCTCGTCGTCCCATCAGTCAAGTCAGGAGGATGGCGAGGCTGCGGAGGGAGGAGAACCGACAGCTGACGGCCTCTCGGACGATACAACGTCCTCCTCCTCCTGGACAACAGACTCCTCCAAGCTCATCGCAAGTATGAGGGACGAGATGAACTTTCTGTTCGTCCGCAAGAACTTGAAGGAGATGAGAGAGCATGCAAGATTGCTGCTAACCAGTATGCGAATCATCTCTCCTCTCCTCTCCTCTTCTCTCTCCTCTCTCTCTCTCTCCTCTCTCTCTCTCTCTCTCTCTCTCTCTCTCTCTCTCTCTCTCTCTCTCTCTCTCTCTCTCTCTCTCTCTCTCTCTCTCTCTCTCTCTCTCTCTCTCTCTCTCTCTCTCTCTCTCTCTCTCTCTCTCTCTCTCTCTCTCTCTCTCTCTCTCTCTCTCTCTCTCTCTCTCTCTCTCTCTCCTCTCCTCTCTCCTCCTCGCTACTTTCTTCGAGACGCCGCCTGCATCGGACAGCCACACAAACTTTAACTTTAGAACTTTACACATAAACTTTCCCCACAAACTTTCAAACTCTCCCAAAGTGTTTTGAACCCCAGAAAGACAACAATCGTACCCCACCCCCCTCACATCACCACCCCACCCCTTGAAACGCTCACACCCCTCCGATCCCTGAATGAAATGACTCGGTAAGGTTGTACCCACCCCACCCTATGTCCATGGGTACCCCTCCTCAAAGGCTCCAATCT